CCTCAGCGCCTCTGCTCTCGCTTTTTTTTTTTTTTTCGAACGAAAGGGAAAGTGTGTGGAGAATCTTAAAAGGACAGTTCAATCCTAAGCGAACAATGTAGACAAAATATACATATATAAATATACTTTTTTTTTAATGCTAAGTCGATTGAAGCTGCTTCACTGACGCTTGTAGGTGACCCCCATCGGCGTGATGTTAGGGGCCCCGCTGGCGCCAATTCGATGAAGCGTCCCCTTCTACCGTATTCGTATTTATATATAGGCGTCCTTAATTTCCGCGCCATGGCAACCAATGGCGATTTGAGTGTGGAGCCCGCATGCTTTGACTGCGGGGGATTTCGAACGCCTTTGTGTGTGCGCGCGAGAGAACAGGCGACGACTACGACGACAGAGGCGTCGTTTATGGAATGCGGCTGTCGGTATAAATGGCGGAACACGGGTGGAGGAAGGGCGGGCGTATGGGAGGGAAGGGGGAGAAAGAAGCCGAGAGTTCACTTCCAAGGCCGGACCCGGGAGCGCCGAGCACACGGCGGCTGCTCAAAACGCGGCGTAGAGCGAAGAACGTATTCTCGGTGCCGCTCGGCTTTGTGCTACCTGCTTTTGTTTGTTTTATTTGGCCCTTTTCTTCGGGTCCTTCCCCGCCGTCGCCGGAGGAGCGAGCAGCCCTCGACGACTCGCTTCTAGTAAAAAAAAAAAAGAGTCAAAAATCTAAAAAGAGAGCGAGCAACGTCGCCATATTGGCAGCTCCGTTCTTTTTCTTTTCCTCGCAGGCTCGCTCGCCTATTTACTGTCTGTATTATTCGCTTATTTTATATATATATTTATTTAATCGGGTTTGGCGATAGGTCGTGATAGAAATGAGGAGGAAATAAAATTAAAGCGCGAGAGGACCTGGTTCCCCGTGAGGAAGGTTAACTAACGCAACGGGTAGAAGAAGAAACAAAAAGAAAAAGAAAGAGAGAAAGGTGTATGAAAAGAACGAGCTGGAAAGAAAGATGGCGACGTGAAGTGTCGTCTGCTCTCTCGGGATGGGATGCTTTGCGTAGACGCCATTTTGAGCGAAGTGCTTGCTCGGCGGCGCGCTTTCGGGGTCAATCTGACCGCGGAGATACATTTTGGTTGACTCGTAATAGCCGGCTCGCGATAACAGCGATAAAACGATCTCGGTCAAGAATTGGGCTTCGTATCGGTTTTTCTTTCTCTGGTTTTGTCCTCGTGCGTGCGCCGAACGTTTTGTGTTCCCGTGAGCGATGATCCGCGGAGGCAGAAGGGGGTGTCCGTTCAGGACGGAATGGTTTCGTCTGCTACGGTGGGCGCCATGTTGGCTGTTTTGACCTCGTTCGGGGAGGGCGGCTGGAGACGTGGCGGCATGGGGCACTCGTAATATTCGATTCCCCTCCCCTTCCTCCTGTTTTCTCGCCGCTTCAGCACATTCTTTTTTTTTTTTTTTTTCGATAACGACAGCGTGTGTTGCTGACGTTGGCTAGCAGCTCAAGTTTTTACCGAGATTTGTGCTTTGATTAGAATCGCTGGCGTGTTTGACCAATGCTTCGCTGCCTCTTTGTGGCCAGGCGGGCAGTCTGCGTGCAATCGATATTAGAGTGACGCCGACGTTTGTTTACGCTGTTGTTAACGCGCCACACGCGAAGGTCTGCGTCTGGCGCGCTGTCGCCGCTGGCAACCATGACTTCCGCTTTGACTCGAAATTGCAGAAGGTAAGCAAATTGGCGAAGGAAAAAAATCATACCTTTGGTTTTTAATTTTTAGGCTAGGTGGCGCCCGTTATAAAGGTTGCAGCCGTTAGCATCCACTCATACATCGAAGAGAAACGCTTAATCATATTTATGTATCAAAGGGAAACCTTAAATAACGTCAAGAAAACCGTTTGGAATTGGTATGGTGGCCAGTTTTCTGTCGTTTAAATGTGCACAATGTTGCAGTCATGGGCGGTATGTTTTTGAGCTGAGGTTGGAGGTGTTGCTCGGCTTTAGTCCTAATCGTGGCGGCCTCTTGGAGGAAGCGACAGAAAGAAAGATAACAATGTGCGAGGCCGCGCGCAATGGCGGCGGAGGCCCCTCCGCATGGGGTAGCCGCAAGGCCCCCCCGTCTTAAAATAAAATTTCCTGAGGAGAGTGTTGCAATTACGATTTTTTCCTCTCTCACTCTCGGATGTGGCGACGCCACGTCGGTGTCTCGCGTTGCCACGTTGGCAACGAGATCTCTTTTTTGTGACTATCCACGTTAACGTGCAATTTTTTTTTTATAATTATTATTGTGCTTCCTGCCACGTGCACTGAGAGAGAGGGGGGGGGGGGGGCAGCTTCCCTAAGCTCCCCAAGGTCAACTTTGTTTTAATAAAATCATTGATATACACCAGCCAAAAGCTTATATTTTGGTGACATAGCAAATATTGGGTCAACAAAATAGATATGGGCAACGTTTCGACCGTAGCGTCATATCTCAGCAGACTCCCCCCCCCCCCCCCCCCCCCCCCTCCCTTTTCCCCCTTCTCCGCCGGGCGAATGTCTACCGCCCCTCCCTGGCCTGACCCCATAAATCGGCCCCTGAGTGTATTCGGGCTTTTCTTTCGCAAGCTCAAGAAAAAAGACTGTTTAGACAAAGCTGCAAGAACGTTTATTCGTGCTGATTTCCATTCTCGACACATCGTAGGTTCCCATTGGCCTGCTACGTCGTGGAAAGTTTTCACATGCTTGCAAATTCCTGCTTTCCCTGACACTGTAATCGTCCCACTGTTTCATTTCGTCCGTAAGCAACTGGAAATACTAATCACGAGGTGGCCTTTTTGTGCGAGCCTAAAGAGTTAGTGAACGTGTTTTCCGGATGCAGACATGGGAGCCGTCCTTTGAGATACAGTGGAACGGGGTTTGCTTATCGCCAAGCAGCAGCCCGACTGATATCGGTCTGCTGTTGGCCTTGTTCGCGCTGATTCACACACAAACACGCAAAAAAAAAAAAAAGAAGATATATATATATATATATATATATATATATATATATATATATATATATATATAAATATATATATATATATATATAACGCGATTAACATTGCATTTTGCAACGATATTCTGGCTGCTTTACGCCACTCAACGGGAACTCGTTTCTTGCTATCACATAATGCAAACACAAACTGCGAGCGCAGGCGTTCAAACAAGGGCATTTTCCGCCCCGTTCCCCGAGACGCCGGTTGTATTTAGGCGAGGCTGTCAATATGGCGGCCGGTGAAGTGCTAGCGGACGACGGGCGATCCAGCGCCAGAGGAGAGCATCAAAAGAGGAGCAGACGACTCCCAAGCAAAGGTGCACCGCTCCCGGGGGGGAAGGGAAAGGGAACGCGCCCCGCAGCAGTCAGCAGGCGGCGGCGCGTTCGTTTGCTCCGCTCCATCAGCTTTGGGAGAGCCGCTTCGGTAATCACGCGGCGGTCGCTTTGGGTGTCTGCCGCTCGTGACGTCACGGGCTTCCCCCCTTCCCTTTCCTTCCCCTCTGTCGGAAGTGTAGGTGGTTCTTTGCACTGCTCGCCGCTGTTGGGCTGACTGGATGGATAGACAGACGGGCTGGCCGCCTCTGTGTTTGGGGTGCCTCATCCAAGCCGCCATTGCGAGACGGTGCAGTGGGCGGGAGGAGGCCGGCAGGCTACTCTCGGCAACTTGACCTGTTCGTGGCTTTAGCGCTGACTCGAGAGAAAACAAGAAAAGGGTCCTACGCCTGCTCGCAGGATTAAGCGAACGCGCCGTTCCGTCGTCCCTTTTTCTGGACGTAGGAACGAAGGCGCCAACAACAGCTGTGCATTGCAGGCACGGCGTAACTCATTTCAGATCTTGTTTCTCTCCCCAACCATTGCTGTTGCGCTCTAGGTATTTGTGACTAGCTGTAGCCGTCGTTATCGGCGAAAGATTTTTTTTTTTTTTTATAGTAAACTTTTATATGGCGGTTTCGTGCGTTTCACCGAACGCCCTTGCCTGTACCCTTCTTTTTGTCGTTATTGTTAATTGCCAACGTTGCTTTTCGTGTGACGACGTTACTCGACGGCGGGCATTTCTCGACAGTGGAACACGACACGTGTACGAGATGCGCCCGACCTCGGCGAGCTGCAGGAAGTTCTAATGGCCGAAAGGAACCTGCGGCTGCGCTCCCTCCCCGCGTTGGTTGTTGCGAATTTGGGGTGGCTGGCTGCTGCGCTGGCTGCGCAAACGGCGTCCACTCGGCCTTTGCTCTCTCGAATGGCTGGCCGCTTCGTTGCACGGGCAGAACCGCGCTTCAAGCCCGCTCGCTAGGTTTGAGACCACTGGATGATCGCCGCCGGTTTCGAACGTTGTTTGTCCAATCTGTAACCGACATGGTCGGGTTGTCAAGCCTAATAAACATGTACGCTGAGAAATGAATAACCGCAAAAGTACTTAAAAATAATATAAAAGCCTGCAGGAAGGGTCGGTTAGCAGAACTTCTGACTGCATTTGAGGACATATCTGTTCTTGCGCCCAGAGTCTCCGCTGCTGGGTACCTTTTCTCTTTTTCTTTTCCGTTGTGGCGGGGAATGGAAAGGGGGGGGGCACCCGATTTCGTTCTCTCGTTTTCTTCGCCCGCTCTTTCTCAGTCGGGTTGCCGTGCCGCTCTGCTCGCCTTCTCTGTGGCGCGGCGGCGCGCTTATGTCGGTACCCGAACCATTTTCTTCATGCGTTCGTGTATCGCACGCCTGTTTTTCTTCGTCTGCTATCTTTTTTTTTCTTTTTGTCTTCGCTTTTTATTTTGGTCGGTCGCCATCTTTGCTGACCCCCCCTCCTCCGTTCTGATCCTTCTTTTTCGGCGCTTCCTTTACCTTTCGAACCTCTTCGTTCATTTGTAGCACCCCCCTTCCTCCCCTGGGCGCATCTTTCTCTCGTCTCTTCTGGCGTTCATCTGTTGTCCTTTCTATCTGCTTCCTTCTCCTCTGCCGGCGTATGTATGTGTGTGCGTGCGTCTGTCTTTCCTTCGTCGACTGGCATCTTTCACTGGGCCCTCGGCGGCGTAGAGGTTCGCCTCTTCTCTCGTGCTTGCGTGTGTGTGTGTCGCGACGCATCGTGGCGGCTTCGTTCGCTCCTCCGCTCTGCGGCGCACGCACTGCTAGACGGACAGACAGACAGACGGGCCAACCGAGCGACCTCTCCGCGTGCCTGCTTGGTGCGGGGGGGAAAAAAAATCGGCCGCCTCGTCGCCGTCGTCGTTCGCTCGCTCGCGAGCCGCCACGCCGCCCGTAGTTAGCAGTGTGTGACTCGGCGTTCGCGTTTGGCTCGCGGCTGCTACGTCGCCGTCAACTGCCCACCCGTAAAGCTGTCGCCTGCCGGCCCCTCGTCCCAACCACGAGAGGCCAGCACCCCGTCGAGGGAGATCGGTACCCCGTCTCGATCGCTGCTGCCCTGCGGAGGAGCTGTTTGGGGGGTGGTGGAGGAAGCGGGTGTTCCCGTGCTGCTACGACGACGACGCTAGCTTTCTTGTCGGCGGCGAGGCTGGGAAGGCAGGCGCCCCTCCCCGGTACGACAACGGCCGCGCCATTTTGGAGAAAAAGGGTCTGGCGGCCGCTATGCATCGCTGCGGAGCCGCCGCGTGGGCCCTGAACAGCGGCGGCGCCGCTTGGGCTGTCCAGGCTCGACGCTGGATCCCGCTGGCCTAGGGTTCGACGGATGGGGTGATCTGTGCGCGAGCGGCGAGGCCAGACGAGGAGATCCTCCCCTGCCGGCGCCCATGTTTCTGACGCCGCTGTGCGCCTTCCAAAGGTGTGCTCCTTGGCTTTTCTGCCTGTCTGCGTGGTTGGTGCGTTTGTGTGCGCTTCTTCCCGTTGGATATGTTGTTGTCGTCGTCGATGATGTCGCCTGGGCCATCCTGGATTACCCTTTTGCCAGCCGGAGGAAGGTGAAACGAAGCGGTGACGACTGGAGCTTATTGATTTTTGTTTGTTTGTTGGCTTTTGGTGGTGGAGAGGGTACGCGTTGCGGCGCGTCGATCGGCTCGCAGCTATGGCTGATTGTATTACTCCGCTGCCGTTTTTGTGGTCATAGCGCTTATCATATCGGCGTCCCCCCCCCCCCCCCCCCCCTTTTTTTTTTCCTGAGGGGGGGGGGGTGTAGAGAGAGGGGGGAAGAGAGGAGAGGTGTGTTTACGAGTCTACGGCATTTTGTGTACTCTTGACTAGGTGCCTGCTTTCGCTTTGTTATCTTAGGTAGATTTTTTACTCGATATTTTTGGACGTTTCCGCTTCTCAAGGACGGGACCTGGATGGATAACGTTGCGGTGTTACTGCTCTCGCGTTTTTTTGTTTTTTTTTTCACTTGTAAGGAGCCGAGTTAGAATCGTCTTTATATTTTTTTTTTTTGGTTTTGTGTTCATTGTCGATAACTTTTTTACGACGTTGTTTATGGTGTTCGGCTACTTATGCGTTATAACCTCGACGCGACGAGGTGATATCGCGCGCGGCATTTAAATCGCGTCGTCCATTCTGCTAAACGGGTATCGCTTACATTTAAAACGATGACCGAGTACCTCCTTTGTCACCCCTTTGCTAATCTCCACCTCCCCCAAGTTTCTTTAATGCATTTTTTTTTTTTTTTTTTACCGCTGTGCTTAGGAGATTTCTTCCGAACAAACCATCAAAAGGGAATAAGTTGTCATCTCGTTGATTGGCGCAGGACGCGATAGTAGCTAGGGAAACGAACGGGAATCATGGGAAAGCGCGACGTCCACGGAGCACTACCGGAAGTGACGTTTGGTTGTTTTCATTCATTTTTCGGTCATGTCGTCTTTTCGTGTTTTTTTTTTTTTTTTTTTTTCGTTGGTTTTGTTTGTGGCGACGGCGGTTCCTCCCCGAATTCGCTCGCTGCTGTGATTAGGAGTAGGATGCTTCGCGGCGGCAACTGGCTCGCTCGACCTTCGTTCGTTCGTCTGTCTTGTTTCTCCCTGCTGCGGAGGATTTTCAGTATTAGTTTCGTCTTCTGTGTCTCCTCGTGCCGCCGTTTTGCATGGTTTTGAGCACATTTGGGACCATTAGTGGGAAGGGTTGCAGCGCCGTCTGCTTTCGTCCGCCGTCGTCTGCTTCGGTCGTTTGTTTGCCTTTGGCGTACGCCGATTGGTCGGACTGGGTGTTTTCCGCCGAATGGTCTCGTTCTATCGGTTTCGGGTGGGGCTGGGCATTTTTCATCGATTCGTGCTTTCGCGGCCGAGAATAGCTCTTGCGGAAGCATTGCAGATGTCCAGGGGGTAAAAGGAATTTAGCGTTGCCTTTCCACACGGGTGTTCAGCCGTCTGGAGTCTAAAAGCAGACGGCTCAAAAAAAGTTATAATTGTGTTTTAAAATTCTTCACTTGCTCCTCGTGTTTGTTTCATTCTGGTATAATTCTTGATGGCTTGTTTGGGCCATGGGTGGCCAGAGATTCCAGTTTTGCAAACCCAGTAAACGGGATATTAGTGTTCCGTTGAATTTATGAGTGCAAGGTGTAGCAGCCCTGACGGTCACGAACAATAATTTCACCGTGTCCGTAACTTCACATTGGTTACTTTTTAATAGAGCGTAAAAAGCGATATACTAAAACTCCCTAATGGGCGTCTGTTTCTGTTCTACTCTTTTTTTTTTTTCCTGGAGTACTTTAGTATTTTCCCCCATTACGTCTTTCAGTAATCTTTTTTTTTTTCTGTCAATTTTTTTTTATTATTATTATTGAGTGGTAGGAATGTGTCTCGTTGTGACCTTTCCTCAAAGGATCTGTCTCGCTCTCCCGCGTCCATTGTGTTTTTCCGGCGCCGTGCTACATTCGACAGTCTTTCGGCGACTTCGAAGCTACGGGCTGAAGTACGGCTGAGTGAGATTCGTGCTGCGCAGTGTTAGGAAGTACTTAAAGTTACATTGTACTTAAAATGCTACTTCAAGTATGTGTAGAAAACGTGTACTTTACTTGAAGTACATTCTCTGAGTATGGACTTGTACTTTTTTCTGGTGGTTTCCAAAGTTCCACCCCCCCCCCCCCCCCCAAAAAAAAAAAAAAAAATCGTTTTTACTTTATTTTTATTTTAATTGCAAAAAATAAACTACGCATCACCGAACACTTATTCTCCGCCAAAATGTAGCCCCAGCACCCCGAAACCAGGTGCCGAATATAACCGATTATCTCAAATATCCCGCCGGAAATTTCACAAAAGCTGAAAAATCAGAAAAGGTTATGCACGGCACGGCTGCGCATAACCTCTCTATTTACCAACTGAACCAACTAGCCCAAATTTCTACTTTGCTCTCATTTACTTTGTACTTCACGTACTTTTTAGACGTACTTTGCCCAACACGCATTGCGATATGCCTTGTGTCTACATTCGCGCCAGGCGATCCTGCCGCAGTTCATCGAATAAGCAGGTGCAAGGCACTAAATACAGTTGCGGACAGAAGAAGCCAGAACGGGAGGGGACACTGTGTCCGCGTCAGCCTCGCTTGTTTGGTTGCACCACACCTGTTAGCGGTACGAGACAGATGTTCATCGGCCCAAGGGCTCCTTTAAAATTCAATTCAATGAAATTCAATTCGATTCAAAACTTTCGTAGTAAGTAGACGCGAATGCCATGCTGCAGCGAAAGCTATTGGAGCAATCCGACCCCGTTGCGAGTGCCACGTGACCTGATGCGTTCACAGGCTGGATTGGCTATAGGAAGGCTGCTAACGTCAGGTTCCATCGTGAGCTGAAATGGGGCATGGATCAATCAAACCCTTTATCCTTTTTTTTTTTTTTTGTGTGTGTGTGTGTGTGTGTGTGTGTGTGTGTGTGTGTGTGTGTGTGTGTGTGTGTGTGTGTGTGTGTGTGTGTGTGTGTGTGTGTGTGTGTGTGTGTGGTGTGTGTGTGTGTGTGTGTGTTGTGAATTGACGAATGGGAGATTTTTCCAGTTAAAACAGACGAAAATCCCC